AGTTATTAGATTTCCCTTCAACTCAAGTTTTGATGTTCCTGAGTGATGGTTATTCTATATTTTATTTGTAATTTTGATATCACTGTGCAAAGAGGGGGGCCATGTCTGCCTACATCACCATGTTGACCAGAAGCCTCTGTGTGTGCCTTTCAGTCTGAGATGGGTCTCTCGGAAACAGCATACATATAGGTCTTGTGTTCTCATCCATTCAGCTATGTGTTTTGATTGGAGCATTTAAGTCATTTATATTTAAGGTGATTATTGCTAGATAATGTACTTAGTGCCATTTTATTTTTAGACTATTTTCCTCTGTTTATTTCTTTTTTTCTTTCTTCTTAAAGCTAGCTCTTTAATATTTGTCACAGTACTGGTTTAGTGTTAACAAAGTCCTTTAGCTTTTTCTTGTCTGGGAAGCTCCTTCTTTCTCCTTCGATTTGAAATGATAGCCTTGTTGGGTAAAATAGTTTGATTGTAGGTCCTTGCTTTTCATCACCTTGAATATTTCATACCACACCCTTCTGGCCTGAAATGTTTCCATTGAGAAGTTCAGACGCCAGTCTAATAGGCGCTCCCTTGTATGTAACTACCTGCTTTTCTTTTGCAGCTTTTAGGATCCTCTCATTGTCTTTAAGCCTTGTTGTTTTTATTATGATGTGTCTTGGTGTAGGCCTCTTTGGGTCCAACTTGTTTGGGACTCTTTGAGCTTTCTGGACTGTGTGTCTTTTTCCTTCACCAGATTAGGAAAGTTTTTGGTCATTATATTTTCAAATAGGTCCTTAATCCCTTGCTCACTCTCCTCTCCAACTATTCCCATGATGCAGATGTTATTAAGCTTCATGTTTTGCAAAACATTTAAGTTCTCTTCACTTTTTTAAGTTCTTTTTTTCCTTTTGTTGCTCTGCCTGGGTATATTTTTCTATCTTGTCTTCCAAATCACTGATTTGATCCTCTACTTCATCAGACCTACCATTTATTCCTTCCAGCATATTATTTATTTTAGAAATTGTATTCTTTATTTTGACCGGTCCTTTTTTATGGTTTCTCTGTCTTTTTTCATGCTGTTGAGTATCCTTATAATCATTATTTTAAACTCTATCAGGTGAATTGCTTGCCTCCACTTCATTTATTTCTTCTGGAGGATTCTATTGTTCTTACATTTGGGGTCTCTTTGTCTTCCCATTTTGGCTGCTTCTTTGTACTTTTTGCTTAGTTGTTAAACTGGTCAGTGATATAGCCTCAAGCTGTAATCAGCAGCCCACTTAAGCACCACAGGGTGGGGCAGAGTAATTCTTGCCAGTGAGGCTATTGCTTTCCCTCAGGCTGATGCCACTTGGAGATGAGTGCTCTGCCTGACAAACATGGCTTCTGCAGTATGGGCAATGACTGAGCACAGGGATCCTGGTGTCTGTCCCTTCAGTTCTCTCCCCAGAGCCACCAATCCCAGACTCTCCTCAAGCATCTCTAGTCCACTCTGCCTTCCTTCAGCCAGAGCCCAGGGTAAGTGGCTGCAAACAAAATTTTGTGTGTTGGCCCGTTAAGAGGCTCTCTGTGTCTCCAGTCATCTCTCCCTGGCAGACAGAAACCCTGTTGCTTTTCACAGCTGAATGTTATCTGTGTTCCATCCCAGCTCTGGTGCTGTAAACTGGGGAAGCCAGCTTGGGATTTAGACTCTGCATTTCTCATAGGGAACCACCCCCTCTGCCATTGAAGTATCCCTCCAGAAGTTCAGCTGTTGCATGTGGGGGGGTCATCCCCCACTCTTGCACTTCCTCCATACTCCCTAGCAGTCTCGTATGGTGAAGTGGTTTCTTCTGCCTGTCCTTGGTTATAAGGCTTCTTTTCAGCTAGTGTTCAGCTGGTTATTAAGGATTATTTGTCCACAATTTAGTTGTGATTCCAGATTAGTCCTAGGAAAAGGCTAGTATAGTTTCCACTTACTCCTCTGTCATCTTGGATCCTGTACAAAATATTTAAAAAAGCTTTTTTTTGAAGCTGGATTTTTTAACTCAAAATATATAATGCCAGTTCAATATTTTTTAAGGAAAATTGAGTAAACTTTAAAAAAAAATCAGGCCTTCTACTTGTTGGTATCCTTTTTACTGTTGGAAGCCATTTAGTTTTGTAACTGCCTTGGTTCAACCAATTCTCTTCCCTGTCCTTCCCTGTCTTGAGAGGAAATACTTGCCTGTCTCCTAGTGTAGCTGCAAAGTTAGGAAATAAGTGCCTACAAATATGGTACTGTTATTTTTATTGTCCTGTTTTAGATTAAAGCTCTGCAAAAACATGGTGCCTCATATATGAGAAATGAGTTTTAATATTAGATGTGGTAAATTAAGTAGATAATTTAAGAATATGCCTCAGCGAATGGTACCCAACTCTCTTTATAAAAAGCAGTGCTGATTTGTGGGAAAGGGGTTGTATATTGGGTTTTAAGGGCATCAAGATATAGACTGTTACAAAGATATGGTTATCTCTTTTTTAAAAATATATATTTTATTGATATGCTACAGTTGTCCCAATTTTCCCCCCATTGTCTCCCTCCACATAGTACCCCTCTTCCCCCCAGCAATCCCTCCCTTAGTTCATGTCCATCGGGTATGAATATAAGTTCTTCACCTTTTCTTTGGCCTCCAGTGTCTCCAAGTAACATTCAGGACGATGCAAAGTCAGAGAGCACTGCTGGGTTAGGTTGCTATCTTTTTCCAAAGGCCACCAAGACAAATTGGGCAGGTTGTGCACTGCTCAAGGGTACTTGGCTAAGCAGGCAAGTGAGTAATAAATACAGTTGATGTTGTCTTGTTATCCACAAAGAAAAGAGTTGTAATAGATATATGCTGTAAAATGCATAACCTAGGCAAAAGTTTTTTACAGAGTTTTATACTTTTTGCTGAAGCACCTGGGGTTAAGACTGTGAAGTGGGCAGGGAAAATATTTTCTGTAGTTGAGCTGAAAGGCTTGAGGATTTATCTTTTCATAGATCCATATAGCAGATACATGGGGTTGGGCAAAAAGTGAGTGAGTACTTTTGGGTATTTGTGAGTATGCAAGAGTTTGTTCTTGTACTATTATTCATTAATTATTGCATTATTTTTCCATATGAGTAACTGTAAATCTACTTTTGCCTCACCCTGTATGGTCAACTGATGTGTGATAAGGGAGCCTGGAGCACTGTGTGGGGAGAGGATACTTTGGGTAACCACATGCTGAAGAATGAACTTGGAACCTTGTCCGATACCACTCATAACAATGAACTCAAAACGGATAAAAGCCTTACACATAATACCCCCAACTGTAAAACTTCTAGAAGAAACCATAGAGAAAAAACTTTTTGACACAGTCTCAGCAGCAATTTCTGGATATGACACCAAAAACACAAGCAACATGAGCAGACACAAAGAAGTGGGGCTGCATCAAACTAAAAGCCTTCTGCACAGCAAAGAAACACTCAGCAGAATGAATGGGAGGAATATTTACAAACCATATATTTGATAGGGGGTTAATACCAAAAATACATATACAGAACTCATAGAAATCAACAGCAAGAACACCCAGACAGCCCAATTAAAAAATGAATAGTCCCTCTATAACACTCAGGGAAACTGAATAAACAGTTTTCCAAAAAGACAAGCAAATAGCCAACAGGTACATGAACAAGTGTTCAAAATCACTAATTATCAGGAAAATGCAAATCAGACTATAATGAGCTGTCAGTTCACATCTGTCACAATGGCATCACCAAAAAGACGAGATACCGAGTTTGGCAAAGGTGTAGAGAAAAGGGAACCCTTGTGCATTGGTGGGGATGTAAATTGATACAGCCTCTATGAAACAGTATGAAGGCTTCTCAAAAAATTAAAAATATAGATATCATATGATACAGCAGTACCACTCTGGGTATATAGCAAAAGTAAATGAAAATGGGATGTTCATTGCAGTGTTATTTTAAAATGGAATTTACTTGAGTAACATTGATTGATAACATTGTATAGCTTTCAGGTGTAAAATTCTATAATACATCATTTGTCCAGTGCATCGTGTACCTACCACCCAAGTTCTAGTCTCCTTCCATCACCATGTGTATGACCCCCTCTACCCTCTTCATCCTCCCCCAGCCCGTTCCTTTTGGTATCCACCATACTATCTTCTGTGCCTGCGAGTTTGTTTCATTTGTTGCTTTCTGTTTTATATCCCGCATGTGAGTGAAATCATGTGGTTTTTGTTCTTTTCTGTCTGATTTATTTCACTTAGTGCGATACTCTCAAGATCCATCCATATTGTCACAAATGACAATATTTCATAATTTTTATGGTTAAGTAGTATTCCATTACATATAGTAATATAATTTTCTTTAATTTTTTTCAGACTAAATCCCTTTTTAGCTTAATAGTGCTTTTTTAAAGTTGTTTGCTTAGTCCTTTAAAATAAAGGAAATAAAATGCAATTAATTAAAAACTTGCCTTTTTCTACCAATATGTTGTTACTGGTAGGATATTATTAGAAAAGTAATAGAAGTAAGAAGTTAGAAGTAAGCTACACACATAAAACTAGAAAAAAATTATTCTCAACTTTGTGTGTGTGTGTGTGTGGTCTTGACTAGAAAAAAAGGTATTACATTATGCGTTGACCTTTCTCTACCCCTGCTTCCTCACACCTTACTTTACAGATCATTTTTAGGATCAATTTAAATGCACCCACTACCATTTCTTTGCTCATAGCATTTTGCCACTGATCCTCGTCCCATGGGGTAGGTTTGTGGTGCACAGGAGGAATAAAGCGACGCTTTGTCGGCACCGCGGTGCTACCTGATTCTCTGTGAAACCAGAAAGGAGCAGGCAGGTGTAATTGTTGCCTGAATGAACAGTGAGCGCTGTTAAATTTTGTCTTGCATTTACACCAGAAATATTTTTAAGACCTAAAGATAAATACAAATAGTAGCATTTGGAGTGTTTTACCAATGCTGTTTTGATTAAGCCTTCTCTTCACTTGTCATCTTTCTCCAGAAATCATTTGGTGATCTCTCAAAAAGATTTGAAATAAAGCACCGCCTTCAATGTAAAAATTTTACATGGTATCTGAACAATATTTACCCAGAAGCATATGTGCCAGACCTTAATCCTGTTATCTCTGGATATGTGAGTATTTTTCTGTTCTTCTTTATTTGGTATACTCCTTGCCACCAACATTTATGTGGTTCAGAGAAAATTGCTGAGATACTTTCTGGTTGTTTTCTTTTGAGATTTTACAATGTTATTATTTATAGTACTTCTTGAAATCAATGGAAAAATATATAAGCCACAAAGACTTAAAAAATTATAACTTGAAAATTTTTCTTTAGATTAAAAGCTCTGGTCAGCCTTTATGTCTGGACGTTGGAGAAAATAATCAAGGAGGCAAGCCATTGATTCTGTACACGTGTCATGGACTTGGGGGGAACCAGGTGAGTACTGCGTTAAAAATCCTGCCTTCTCATTGGTACTTCCAACACAAGTGAGTTGTCACAGATTTTCCAAAAGTCCTAAATGAGTTTTACATTCAAGTAAATGGGTGTGTGAAGTGTTTTTAGATTAAGTTTGGCAACTTATATCAAAGTTACAGGGTGCTTTATTTTGTTTTCACTCTGGCTGGAAAAACAATTTGAAGTTGCTTACCCATTCAGTAGAAAGGCAAATGAGAAAAATAATAGAACAATGTCTTTTGAAATAAGAAAATGAGATGTTTTATGTGGAATTTTGATGTGTGACTATTGGCATGTCAATTTTGCAAAATTATATTACATAAAAGGCTACATTTAACTGGATTCAATGGTAAATTACATCATGTTAACACACAAAAAAATAGCATTATAAGTTATTTTGGTGGTCCATAGTAAATGTTCCAAAAAAACAGGTATGTTCATGATTTTCTTTGACTTATGACATCTCTACCTGTTGCCACTTTTTGACTGTTTTTACTGATTTAGATGCAAATGTCACTATTTGGCTTACTATGGGTAGAGAGCACATTAAATTATTATTTTGCGTTTTTAGGGTTTTTTTCCTTGTCTTTTACAAGTGAATTTCTGGAATGATTAGACTCTTTCTTTCAATTTATTAATTCAGAAAATTCATGGAGTGAGCCCTGCATGTCAGATACTCTGCCGAGTTTAAGAAATTTCAATTCTGATTCCTTCAGGAAATCTATATTTCAAAACCGGTGGTTCCAGTCAGGGTGATAAGGTCTGGGATAAAGTGTTCAGAGTGTTCTGGGGGTGTGGAGAAGGGCATCTGGATTAGACTAGGTGCCCATGCATTTCTAGGGGGAAAGATGACATTAGAAAACATGTTCGGAAAGGTACACAGGAGTTAGTGTGGTAGGTGGCTAGTGGGCATGAGAACGGAACAAGAAGACTGTGAAGAAACGTGTACGAAGGAGAGGAGCTGGTATATCCCCCACCCCTGGGAATTGTAGGTATTTTGATGTAGAGTCCAAGATGTATGTGGAGGATTTTCACAGTATTAAATGCCATGTCGTATTCTAACAGGATGGGGCTTTGATGATGTCAGTTTTAAGAAGAAAGGGTCAGTTTTTATCCTGGTCCATGTTCTTCCATGCTTTTTCCTATCTGTCAGCCTCATCATAATCATTCCCAACCCATACTCATCCAAACCAATCAATCCACTAAGGACAGATGATTCAGCCAGAGCTAGTGAACAAAATGTATTGCTGAACGGTTAATGTGTGATTCTGAAGTGAGATGGAGATACATACACGGGTGTGTATGTGTGTGTATGCACATGTATGCATACTTAAAAAATTTCCTTTCTGTCTGTATATTAGAAGGAAAAATAATTTATAAATAATTGTAATCTTTTGGAAGTAACACTGGACTATACTAGAAAAGTTGGGTTTTGAGCACTGAGAAATATTTTCTCGGTAGTAAAAATCTTACCACTAAATGTAAAGACTTATACATTTCTCTCAGGCTTTCTCTAGCATTACATTTATTTTTATCATAAAAGTCGAAAATGCATGTACACATTGCTTTATCTTTATACATTGTTCTTATCATTGCCATAAAGATGTTTTTACAGTTTTGTCTCTGGAGAAACAATTTGCCTATTCTCCCAACGAATATTTGTATAGAGTATAATGTAACTTGCACTGTTATAGTAGTGAAAAAGACAAAGTTCCTGATCTGGTAGATCTAAAAGGAAAGGAAAAGAGTAACTATGTAAGTTTGGGTATGAAGAAAAATAAAGCAGGTTAGGGAGAAAATGTGTCTGTGTGTCGGGGGGTAATTTTCAAGGTTCAGGAAGACCTGTTTGAGAAGGTAACCCTGAGGGTAGAGGCCTGAAGAGGTTGGGAGAGGAATCCAGGAGAGGGTCCTGGCAAAGGGAATGCAAGGCCAGAGGCCCAGGGGCAGGGACACAGAACGTGCAAAAGCCGTTGTGACTGGAGCAGAGTGGTCCAGGAAGAGAAGAGTGGGAAATGAGGTCAGCAACACCAGTGAGGTCCTGGCCCTGTAGGCTTCGTTAAAGAACCTGACAGAAGCCCTCTGAGGGTTTTGAGCAAGAGAATAATAATTTCTGGTTTATATTTAAAAAGATAGCTGGCTTCTGTCACCTTAACACAGCCATAGATTTTATTTTGGTTTATTTCCTTTAAACTTATTTTCAATCAAGACTTACATTTAGACTACTTTGTGAATTTTGTAGACATAAATGTTTTTGAGATATTATTTAACTTAACTTCTTCCTCATACTCTTTTCTACTGCTTTGACCAGATAATGATATTTTTTTGTAACGCAAATCTTCATTGTAACTGTATTTGTATATGCGAAATAAAAATAGTTTGATAATGTGACTAAATTGACAAAGAAACTGTGCACTGCAGTCTAAGTCATTATGGCTTTTTAACACAATGAAAACATTGTCATATTGCTTTTTTCACTTCTAAGCTATAAGGTTAGTCAGTGTTCTCAGCTAGCTAAATAATGTATCTTTTTGTTTTACCTAAATATCTTCAACAATTTCATATTCCTTATAACATCATTTTTAATGATATTTTAAAAAATAATATGAATAAAATAAAATACAAGACAAGCTTTCTTATTATCTCTGAAATCATAAAAAAATTATTTTTCTTAAAAATGTGTAGCCAGGGTGCTGTTTTCATGACCTAAACCTGTTTTCTTTCAATATTTTCATCTGAAGAGCTATCAGTTATAGAAATGGCTGACATGTATTTGTGGAAGCCGGTAAATTAAGCATGAGACTAAGACCAAGGGAACGCAAGATTAATTCAGCCAGTGTTTGTAGGGCGTTTACTGTAATACACATAATGAGCTTCGAACAGTCTCTGTCTGAAACATAATAAAGACTCAATAAATATTAGTGCTAAGACTAATTGTTTTATTACTGAAAATCAATTATATTCAGTTATTTACTTTGATATGTCAACATCATGAAATCTCTGATTTGTGATGAGTGTTATTATTAGTTACACTACCTGACTTTGGTCTGTGGTGAAGCCAGCTAGCTACATGCACAATTCCAATGAAGTGCAGTGTTGCCCCTGATGGGGCCCTGGAAAGGGTATAATTTTGAGCAGCAGAACAAATTCAGGGAAAACTAAAAGAGGAAGGTAATATTTGAATTGGCCCATTTGAAGAATAAAATGTAGCCAGACAGAAGGATCCAGAAAGATATTCCAGGTGGAACACAATAAAGCAAAGTCTCAGGGTTATAGATACATATGTTCTGCATGATAGAATTGTGTGAAAGGAGCATAGGATGTAATCGGCGCGCTAGTTGATAAAAGATTGAAAATGGAAGTTTCACGTACCAATTAAGGAGTGTGGACTGAATCTTAGTAACAGAGTGACTCACTTTATCAGGGGATGTCGGGGAACAAATAAATGTCATAAAAGACGAACAGCAAACTGAAGCAGAGTGAGTTTCCCTTTACTCAGACTCAAGCAGCAGAGAGAATTGAAGTGTAGGAGCGGAAGTTGGAGGTAACTGGAGGTGTTGCAGTAGATGCTCAGAGTACCTGAACAGCAGAAGGGAGGTTGTGGAAGTAAGGATGGGTGCGATGGTCACGTCTGAGAGGAAAATTCAGGAGGACCGAGAGACTAATTAACAACCTACAGGGAGAAAGAAGCATCAGTAATTGTAGTAGCAGCTTAAATATATTGAATGCCTACCATGAACCAGTTCCTGTTGTGATTCGCATGTATTCACACAGTTCCCTTTACAACCCTGGCAGGGGTGTCCAACCTGCGGGTGGTGGGCATGCGTACAGCTCAGGATGCCTGTGAATGTGACTGCACAAAATCGTAAATTTACTTAAAACCTTCTTTTTCTTTTTTTTTTTTTTGCTCATCAGTTTTCATTAGTGTTTCTGTATTTAATATGTGGCCCAAGACAGTTCTTCCGGTGTGGCCCAGGGACTCTAAAAGGTTGGACACCCTTGCAAGGAGTAGGAGCTATTAAATTAGCCACTTTACAGGCAAGGAAACTGAGGCATGGAGATTACCCCCCTCTTTTTTTTAATCCTCACCTGAGGATATGTTTATTGATTTTAGAGAGAGAGGAGGGGAGAGAGAGAAACATTGATCGGTTGCCTCCCATACGCAACCCCACCGGGGACTGAACCCGCAACCTAGGTATGTTCCCTGACCAGGAATTGAACCCACGACCTATGGGATGCTACTCTGACCACCTGAACCACCCAGCCAGGGCAAGATTACTCCTTTTAAATGTTCCTATTTAAATAAAAATGCCAGGAATTAAGATGAATAGGAGAGAAGGAACATTTGTAGAGAAGAAGAGACAGTTACTATGCTTGCTAGAGCTTCCCAAGCCCTTTTCTATGGAGTATCTGTCCCAACCTCTATCCTACCTAACTTGTAACTTCTGCTTTGGGAAGAATAACTTTTTAATGAAGTATCTATCTCTTGGTAATAGGCTGGAAAAAGTTTATTGTTCTATCAAACACTCAGCTTATGTTTCTGATACCAATTTTACTATATTAGTTTGTTGTATATTATTATATATGTAGACATGACTGCATTATTCAATAAGTTGCTAATTTTTTTTATTGGACTGTTATTTTGCAGCTAAACATGTAGGGTGCTTTTGTCAGTAATAGCATTCTTTCTTTCACAGTATTTTGAGTATTCTGCTCAACATGAAATTCGACATAACATCCAGAAGGAATTATGTCTCCATGCTGCTCAAGGTCTTGTTCAACTGAATGCATGTACCTACAAAGGTCACAAGACAGTTGCCACTGGAGAGCAGATATGGGAGATCCAACAGGTACCTCAGTGCAATGAATCCACCCCTTTATGTAATTACTATTTTGAACAGCTCTAATTGCTTACCTGGGAAAAGGCCTGAAACACTTTTTTTTTTTTTTTAGTTATTTTTCAAGTACAGTTTTCCTTTTTTAATTTTTTTATTTTTTATTTAGTTATTTTTCAAGTACAGTTTTCTGTTTCTCCCATCCCAGCTCCCCCCCCCCCGCCCCATGCTCCCCACCTCCCTCCCATTTCCGCCCCCCTTAGTTCTTGTCCCTGTGTCCTTTATACTTGTTCCTCTAAATCTCTCCCTTTTTTTCCCCTTAAATTCCCTCCCCTGTCCCCTCTGGTCGCTGTCCCCTTGTTCTCTATTTCAGTGTCTTTGTTTTTATTTTGCTTGCTTGTCTGTTTTGTTGTTTAGCTTCCTGTTAAAGGTGAGATCAGATGGTATTTGTCTTTCAACCCCTGGCTTATTTCACTCAGCATAATGCTTTCCAGTTCCATCCATGTTGTTGCAAAGGGTAGGAGCTCCTTCTTTCTTTACTGCATAGAATTCCATTGTGTGTATGTACCACAATTTTTTGATCCATTCATTTACTGAGGGGCACCTAGGTTGCTTCCAACTCTTGGCTATTGTAAGTTGTGCTGCTATGAACATTTTGGTGCATAGGTTCTTTGAAACTGATGTTTTAGGATTCTTAGGATATAATCCTAGCAGTGGAATTGCTGGGTCAAAAGGCAGGTCGATTTTTATTTTTCTGAGAAAATTCCATACTGTTTTCCATAATGGTTGTACCAGTCTGCAATCCCACCAACAGTGAACTAAGCTAAGGTCCCCTTTTCCCCACAACCTCTCCAACATTTATTGTTTGTTGCTTTGTTTATGATGGCCATCCTGACCAGTATAAAGTGGTATCTCATTGTGAAACACTTTTTATTAATGTTATTCATCAGAATTTCTCAGCTTTTGTTAACTTCGTTGTTTGTCTACCCATGTGATAAAAGAGCATATATGTATGAACTAAAACCTGTTAGAGACAAAGTAATTGGAAAATTGCTTAGTTAAAGCATAGTTTATGCCAATCAACACTTCTGTGAATTATTAATAATTGTTGCCCATATTTTTCTTTTTGAATTTTTCATGTTTCTTGTAGTAGACATTTTTTTTCTTGGCAGAGAGAAAAGAAAATCATTTTTTTTTCTTACCTGAAGTGCTTAACTTTTTCCCTCCCTGTTTTAGTGCTTTTGTGAACCTAGAACTGAGAAAATATATAAAAGTTCTTTTCTCTTTGTAAAAACATTTTAAGGCTCAGCTGGAACCTAGTAATTCTTACTTGAAAATTGTTTTGAACAATGTAAGAAGACAATAAAACTGACTTTTATGACTTACTCTTTTTAAAAGTTTGTTACTTTTGGATGCATGGATGTGTGTGTGTGTACACACACATACATGTATATAAAAATGGCATATTGTTTAAAAATTGGATTGAGACTTTGCTCTGTACAGCTCTCTTCATTTATATAACACCTTATGTAGTGGAATAAATGCTGTTGTTTACACCAGAAACATACAAGATTTTATCAGACATAGTTGATCTTAGGAAGATAACCTGTTAAGGATGCTATGTATTTGGTGTATAGGTCTCCCTTTAGCTTCAATGAGACCATAAAGTAGTTTTCGTATTTATCAGTTAACTATGAGTTTTGAAACTTAATGTCTGTTGTCTTTCCTTTTATTCTAGGATCAACTTCTATATAACCCATTCTTAAAAATGTGCCTTTCAGCAAGTGGAGAGCATCCAAGCTTGGTGTCATGCAATCCATCAGATCCACTCCAAAAATGGATTTTTAGCCAAAATGATTAAGTGTTCCTTAAAATTAAGGAGTTGAAAAAGGAGATATTTTTTTCTCATAAAACTGTGACTAGGCATACACTGTAGTTTTGAAAATTATGCAAAAGCAGCTAATTATAACTTATTCCAAGTGCATTTTTCTTATTTATATCTTACAATGCCTCTGTAGCAACACTACAGAAATCCCTCGTCTCCATTTCAAAGCACAGTGATTAATAATACCAAAGACTAGTTTGAAATGTCCAAATGTAGAGAAAGAGATGTTTACAGTACGATGAAAATAATTTTCCAAGTAAAGTGCTGTTTATGTGTTTTGTACACTTGAGGATGTGCATAGGTACATTCACACACTCACAACTTAAAATATTACTTCTAGTTTTGGGGGGGAAGGGAGAAAGATTTGATACTGTATTTTTTTAGTTTCATAGAAATGGATCAATGAAGGTCAAACATTGGCTTTTGTATACAAACCAGGAAATTTTTATAGATCTAAAATTTATAACATGAAAATGCAGGTAATTTTTTTTTTGCCTTTTCTTTACCTATTTGTCAACATGGATTTAAATGAATAAACAAAAGACTATTTTTAACACTTTAATTTCTTGGCAAATTTTAAACTATTTTTTAGTCTGAAGACCACTTGACTTGAAGCACTTAAGTCTTTCCTAAAAGGCTTTTCTTAAGTAACAGTACTGTGTTTTCCCAAAGAAATTTAAAATACGTCATAACTTACTATCGGTTGAAAAGATGTGTTTTTCCTTTCTGCTAGTCTTTTTCTCACCAAAATTTATTAACCTTGAATGTTTGTGAAGTTGAATTTTAAATGCAGACTACTTGACTCATTTAAAGCTAAATTTTATTTGTTATTGATTTAATTCAATGTATTATTGTTCAGTTAATAGATTGCCTTTGTAATGATTTTTACTTTTACCAAAAAAAATCTTTATTTCTCTCTATGTGGAAAACACAATAAAACAAATCCTTACAATTGTGATCATTGGATTTAAGTATTTTTTTTCTTTTGGATAAAATATATCATTGATAATAGGTGGGGGAAGCATGCATTTTGTATCCCGAATTTCTAAGCACTAACTGTAGAGCCATAAGATATTTCTTAGGGAAAATTCAAACATTTGATACCATGGCATAAAACAAAATGGGGAATGGAGAAGGTTCCAAGTTAGATGTTTAGAAAATTTCCTACTAATTTCTGATAACTTTCCTTGAATATCTAATAGCGTACATTTTTAAAAAAAAATGTGATGCTTATTTAAAAGATTTAGCACTTTTTTCTTTTTTGGCTATTTTATTTATAGACCTCTTATATTCTTATTTAATAAGTAAAATATGTTTGGCTTCACATTTTAAACCCAGCAGAACTCAGGTATCCAAAGAAAATGTTTAAATTATTGGTCCCACCTTCTCATTGTTTGTAACTTTGAGGTTGTATTTCTAAAACCTTGCATTCTTTAATTTATTACAATGCCAACTTTTATTTCAGATCAAGTACAATTTATTGTGTCTAACTTTGTGGCAAGTTATGGTGGTCAGAGTAAGACACTGCCTTTGAGCTTAGGTCTTATGGAGCAGAAAGACAAATAATTTTGAAATAGTATAATGAGTGATATTACAATGTTATATTTTATGATGCAGATGACTGCTCATTATTCATATTTGATATTTCTTTAATAAGTAAAGATATTTCTTCATTACTATGCATACTAATATGTATTGTGAAATACACCCTAGTACCTATTTCCATGTATATCTTCTGTTTCTTGGTTTGTTACTCTACAGCAGTGATTTGTAACCAGTGTGACACATAAATTTTTCAGACATCCAGTACCTGACTGTTTAATCAGGGCACTGACCTTTCTTCCCTGAGATTGTCAAATGAAAAAAAAAAAAAAAGACAGCAGCCAACACAACAATAGCCATCTGCTGTGAATCAAAATTAAACCTATTTTTGTCATATCATCAAAAAAATACATTTTTTAGTGTGCTACAGAATTTTTGTAATTATGTGTGTCATGAGATGAAAAAGGTTGAACATTGCTGGTCTATAGTGAACATCCAGGAGGAAATATTGATTTTAGAATTTATTGTATCTCACATTAAAAAACAAAATAAAATAAAACAAATTCTCAGATATTTTATAAATGAACATAAGTAAAACATATGTAAACCCCCCCGAGTGCCCTCTGTGTATGAGTCACATGTTGTCATGTCAAGAGCCACCCAACATCTGTTTAGATTAATTAGGTTGATTATACCATGGCTGTATTAAATGCATTCAAAGGGAGACTTCTTCTTTCTTGATTTAGGAGGCTTAGACTGTCGCTCAAGTGTCTGAAGGGATTTGTCTTTCGGTCAGGTAATGTCTGAGTTTTGAATGTCTGAGTTTTGAAACAGTGCTAAGAGGAAGTTATTTATGGAGCCTAGCTGACATCCACTTGAGATATTTAAATGTACTCAAGTGTGAAATTGTGGAACTCTTGCTCAGTTTGAAACTACCATGGCAAATGCTGCAGGAGACCTGACGTGGTTTTTTTCTAGAGGACCAAGTCCCAAGAACTCTAGATTGGTAACCTACACTGCCAAACCTGCTGGGTCACCGATGAGTAGGCTCATTGAAAACTGACATGTGACCACATGATTTAACTAGATACTATGTAAGTCATAAAAATAGCAGAACAAAAGGTAGGGGAACTGTTACTTGTGAGAAAACAAGGTTGAATCCTTTGGGAAAACTACAAAAATATTAAATTATTTTTATTTTATTTATTTTAATTGTTTAACGTTAAACTACAGTTTTCTGTCTTTTACTCCCATCTCATCCCACCCCACCCCACCCCCGCAGTGCTCCCTACCTCCTTCCCATTTCCACCCTCCTTAGTTTTTGTCCATGTGTCCTTTATACTTGTTCCTGTAAACCCTTCCCCCTCTCCCCTGCAATTCCCTCCCCTCTCCCCTCTGGTCACTGTCAGCCTGTTCTCTATTTCAGTGTATTTGGTTATATTTTGCTTGCTTTGTTTGTTTTGTTGTTTAGGTTCCTGTTAAAGGTGAGATCATGTGGTATTTGTCTTTCACTGCCTGGCTTATTTCACTCAGCATAATGCTTTCCATTTCCATTCATGCTGTTGCAAAGGGTAGGAGCTCCTTTCTTTCTGCTGTATAGAATTCCATTGTGTAAATGTACCATAGTTTTTCAATTCATTCATTTACTGATGGGCACCTAGGTTGCTTCCAACTCTTGACTATTGTAAATTGTGCTGCTATGAACATTGGTGTGCATAGATTCTTTTGGATTGGTGTTTCAGGGTTCTTAGGATATGATCCTAGCAGTGGAATTGCTGGGTCAAAAGGCAGTTCCATTTTTAGTTTTCTTAGAAAGTTCCATACCATTTTTCATAGTGGTGTACCAGTCTGCAATCCCACCAATAGTGAACTAGGGACCCCTTTTCCCCACAACTTCTCCAACACTTGTTTGTTGCTTTGTTTATGATGGCCATTCTGACTGGTGTAAAGTGGTATCTCACTGTGGTTTTAATTTGCATGTCTCTGATAGCTAGCAATATTGAGCATCTCTTCATGTGTCTCTGGATCCTCTGTATGTCCTCCTTGGAGAAGTGTCTGTTCAAGGCCTTTGCCCACTTTTTAATTAGGTTGCTTGTCTTCTTAGAGTGGAATTGTGTGAGTTCTTTGTATATTTTGGAGATTAAACCCTGTCTGAGGCATCATTGGCAAGTATGTTTCCCCATACAGCTGGATCTCTTTTTATTTTAATACTGTTTTCTTTTGCTGTGCAGAAGCTTTTTATTTTGATGAGATCCCATTTGCTTTAGGGGACATATCAGTAAAAATGTTGCTGCGTGAAATATCTGAGATTTTCCTGCCTATTTTCTCCTCTAGGACTTTAATGGTGTCATGGCTTATATTTAAATCTTTTATCCACCTTGAATTTACTTTGGTGTATGGTGTAAGTTGGTGCTCAAGTTTCATTTTTTGCATGTAGCCATCCAGTCCTCCCAACACCATTTGTTGAAGAGGCTATCTTTACTCCATTTTATGTTGCTGCCCTCTTTGTTGATAAGTTATTTTTTAAATGCGGCTAAGTTATATGGGGATGAGGATCATAAAAGAGAGGGAAAGCAAAACAGAAAAAAATCTAGGAAGATTCCGTGCTCAAATCGCTTCACGATAGGCTTTAAAGAAAGTAAAGCAAAGTATTTTTAGACGATGCATTTTTAGTGTGGTTTGTGCAGGAAAGATGTTGCACAATTCCCATAAGCCAGTTCATACTCAAATAAAAGGCCTTGGCCCTACAATGGAATAATTGTGAAGGGATTAATATACATACAAATGTAGGAGTGTGTGTGTGTTTTAAGTTAGAACTGTTTTATCTGTATCTTCATGTTTATGATGTTTTATTTTAAATAACCTTTGTAAATCATCATTTAACTGTGAACCCAATTGTGTTAAAGAGGAGTTTTATCCTCCATACATATAGTCAGTGTAGCTCTCTAATCTTCAACTCTAGTTTTCAACAATATTTAGGAGATACCCTTCTGTGTCTGTGATTGTAGTAGGCATGAGAAGCTAACGATAGACAAAATGGCTTCTGTCTTCAAGAATTTTACAGTCGAGACTGTGTGCTCATCAATGAAATATCATAATGACACTGTTTGGAAGAGAAACACTCCATGATGGAGTCAGCACCTTCAGCTTCTGGTGAGTCCATTGCCAGGAGATAGAGGAATAAACAGAGGAAACCCGTAACTATAGCTAGACTTTGTTGTGCACACCTGGGGAATATTATTAAATGCAGGTTCTGATTTATTAAGTCTGGGGTGGAATCTATGATTCTGCATTTCTAATAAGTTCTTAGATGATGCCAAGATTTCTGGTCCTAGAACAACACTTTGATAGAAAGACTGCCCATTGAAGCAGTGGGCTCTTTGAGACTGCATGACAATTTCCGTCATGCTTCACATCTCTGATTACTTCCGGAACCAAAAGTCAGTATTTTCTATTATCTGTTACTGAATAATATTATGGTTCCCTGGTAACTACTACATCTCTTGTATATGCCTAATTTGGTAAATTCCTCTCTCTACCTGACCTTTACTCACCTACTCTGCCAGCTTCTACTCCTGTTCTTTGACAGAAAATGTCCTTATATCAGTAACCTGGTCTCTGAAGTCCTATTCATCATCTTGTAACTGAAACCAGACATCTATGGATACCCCTTTTAATTCCACTGAGGGTTATTGTTTTTGTGTCCTAGCGTTCCACTTGCACTGTACAGTGAAGATTTGGAATATGTGTGTTCATCAAAAATGCCCCATGAAGCCTATGCCATATAGATTCATTATCCTCCATCTCTTTTTGCCACTGTCTGCTATAAAGCTATAGATAATTTCTTTCAGTTAATCCCCTTCATTCATTGAATGTTTTAGCTCTTATTTGGCTTTCTTTCTTTATACCCCTACCTCGGTCATCTTCATGTATGACTTCAATATCCATGCAGATGACTCCAGTGTCCTGGGATGTCATTACCTGACCACTACATTTTCTTCCCTCAGCCATATACTTGCTTGTCATCACTAGTAACCATCTCTTGTCAGACAGCGTAATCTCTCATAAACTCTACCATCTCCTGTCCTTCTCACTCATTTATACTGGTATTCCTCTTAAGAAAAATAAATAAATAAATAAACGTTCCCCACCTCTTGAGGCCGCCAAACAATTGATCTTGCTCCTTACTCACTGTCTCTTTTAGTTCATACTTGTCTCCTGATCCAGAATGGTTTCAATATTCCATCATTATAAGAATTTTCTACCACTCTCAATTTGCTACTCTTTTTCTCTAT